AAGAGTTTCCTAATGTCAGAGGTTTCCAGGGAAGATCCAGGACTCCATAACTATGATGTTTGGTGGTTTCATGGTATGTTACATTTCTATTGATGTCATGTTGTGTAGATATATGTGTTCATGCGTGTTTGGTTTTGAAAGAACAACAGCAACAGCAACCACAACCAACAACCAACAACCAACAACCAACAACAACAACAATGTCCTGGAAACCAGGACCAACAAGAACAAAATAAAAACAAACAACCATGTTCTGGAAACCAGAACCAATAGTGATGAGACTATCTGTAAAATAGGACCACCACCAACAACACTAACTAACAAGTTGGTCCAGGACCAACAACAACAATGTCCCAGAAACCAGGACCAACAAGAACAAAATGAAAACCAACAACCATGTCCTGGAAGCCAGAACCAATAGTGATGAGACTATCCTGTAAAACAGGACCACCACCAACAACACTAACTAACAACCATGTCCTGCAAACAAGGACCAACAACAACAACAACAACAACAACCTGTCCTGGAAACCAGGACCAACAGCAACAACCTGGTCCTGGAAACCAGGACCAGTAGTCTTAGTGAGACTACCTTGTAAAACAAAACCCACCAACAACAAGAAGAACAACAATGTCCTTGAAACCAGGACCAACAACAACAACCTGGTCCTGGAAACCAGGACCAACAAGAACAAAATGAAAACCAAGACGAACCATGTTCTGGAAATGGTATTTCATAAAAGATGTATGTACATATATACACATATATATATGGTGGGATTTATGATGTGGTTCATGTAGGTGCTGAGATTGGGCACCCACTGAGGCTCCGAACTGTCGCAAAGACTGTTGCAGGGACCAGTTGAGAAAAAAAAGTCCCTGTGCGGGACACTGCCTATTCGGCAGACTAGTTACTGTTTGAAGCATCAGATCCTCCGTGATCCTTAGTGATCCTTAGTGATCCTTAGTGATCCTTAGTCCAAGACTGTGTGCACATGAGCACTGTGATTGTATATACATATTTCCTCAGGGCATAAGTCCTGGTGAAGATAATATAAGTATTATTGATATATATGTATATATGTATATATATATATCACTGCATCTCTGCATGTGTTGTCTTTTTTGTTTGTTTATTTGTGTTTGTCCGTTTGGCTCTTGCAAATCTACCTGTTTGCTATCTTTTTCTTTATTTCTGGATCATCTAGATTTGGCTATTTATCAGTTGATCTATCTATTGACTTATTGATCTATCTATTGTTTTATCTATTAGTCTATTGACCTATTTGAGAACATGATTCATTAATATGTACATATATAAATACAATATATATATAGTATCTTTATCATCTAGTTATCATCAGTCTATATTCCTATTGTAAACTATCTGCAAGTCACCTATTTCTGTATCCAGCATCATTCCAGCATCTATAAACTTCAGTTTCTACCTGTCTGTACATATCCCTGTTATTTTTTTCTCTGTGTATGAGTCTGTCTTGTGATTGTTTGTCTGTTGCTTTTTCCAAGGACCTAGGTCCTGGTAAGTATATGTATGATCCAAGGACATAAGCCCTGGTAAGTTTACATATGATCCAAAGACATAGGTCCTGGTAAGTATACATATGATCCAAGGACATAAGTCCTGGTAAGTATACATATGTTCCAAGGACGTAGGTCCTGGTAAGTATACATATGATCGAAGGACATAGGTCCTGGTAAAAATACATAGATCTTTATCATCTAGTTATCATCAGTCTATATTCCTATTGTAAACTATCTGCAAGTCACCTATTTCTGTATCCAGCATCATTCCAGCATCTATAAACTTCAGTTTCTACCTGTCTGTACATATCCCTGTTATTTTTTTCTCTGTGTATGAGTCTGTCTTGTGATTGTTTGTCTGTTGCTTTTTCCAAGGACCTAGGTCCTGGTAAGTATATGTATGATCCAAGGACATAAGCCCTGGTAAGTTTACATATGATCCAAAGACATAGGTCCTGGTAAGTATACATATGATCCAAGGACATAAGTCCTGGTAAGTATACATATGTTCCAAGGACGTAGGTCCTGGTAAGTATACATATGATCGAAGGACATAGGTCCTGGTAAAAATACATATGATCCAAGGACAAAGGTCCTGGTAAGTATACATATGATCCAAGGACATAGGTCCTGGTAAGTATACATATGATCCAAGGACATAGGTCCTGGTAAGTATACATATGATCCAAGGACATAGGTCCTGGTAAGTATACATATGATCCAAGGACATAGGTCCTGGTAAGTATACATATGATCCAAGGACATAGGTCCTGGTAAGTATACATATGATCCAAGGACATAGGTCCTGGTAAGTATACATATGATCCAAGGACATAGGTCCTGGTAAGTATACATATGATCCAAGGACATAAGTCCTGGTAAAAATACATATGATCCAAGGACATAGGTCCTGGTAAGTATACATATGATCCAAGGACATAGGTCCTGGCAAGTATACATATGATCCAAGGACATGGGTCCTGGTAAGTATATGTATGATCCGAGGACATAAGTCCTGGTAAGTATACATATGATCCGAGGACATAGGTCCTGGCAAGTGTACATATGGTACAAATACATCATGGAAGGTATGCATGTACTATTATGAAGATAGTTGTGGATGTGGACAAATGCAGGTATATGCAGAAAGGCTGTGATAACCAAATTTAAAAGAAACAAGAACTTTTGGATTCCAGATGATTCCAGAACTCAACAACTTCAAATGCCAGTTAGTTATTTACTGCACAGTTGATTGCACTCTTGCTGAGCAAGTTTACTTTAAGTTTGGCACTCAAAGCTGCAGTCGGGGTCCTGTGCTGAAGCAATGATTCTGCTCACTCCCCTCCCTTTAAAAAAACTCTTGGGGAAGGAACCTATTGAAATGACTTGTTAGTCCTGAATTCCAGAACTCAAAAAATCCAAATGCAAGTGAGTGCAGAGTTAGAACATAAATGAACTGTCAGTAGATACGTAAAACTGAGATCCAGGCTCCTCTGAGCCAGGACACCTGAGAAGGAACACTGTCTTAAAAAAAACATTGAGACTCTTTGCCACTCTCCCTGGAAATCTCTGACATTGGGAAACTCTTGAATTAGCAAACAGGTTTTGTACCAAAACTCAAGGAGCTGAAATCAAAAAAAAGTCAAGATTGAATGCACTCTTGTACATTTTTGGTGATTGTAGCAAGATTACATGGTGGCTATATGGGATAAATGGGGAATGCCATAATGGTGAAGTAAAACCTTGCTCTTCCCAACATAACTTATATTTAATGTTTTTATGAAATGATAGGAAAACTTTGTCTTCATACAACACTTTCACATGAAGAAAGTCCTGGATTCCAGGACTCACCCACTTTATTAGGGCACTGAAAGCTGAGGTCCAGACTCCTGTGCACAAGTAAACGTGATCCCCTCCCCTCAAACTCTCTTGCAACATTACAGATCACATTCTGTAATTTGTTTTTTTTCAACACCAAAAACTTGATTCCAGCACTTGACAGCTTCATAGTGATCTCATGCACAGTTGAATGCACTCTTCTGGTGAATGAACAAATTGTTATTAGATTAAAAAAACAAAACTGAACAATACAAAACTGAGGACGATGCTCCTGTGCTCAAGCAATGACAATGCCCACTCCCCTTCCCTCAAAAAAAAATGTACAGATGGAACCTCTTGAAATGACTGGATGTGTTATTCAAACAGTTACTACTCCATTCTGCAAATTAAGAACTTCAAATGCAAGTGAGTGCACGAGAGTTAAAACGTAATTGAATGCATCATTCCTTTTCCAATTTTGCACTAGATACTTAAAAACTGAGATCCAGGCTCCTGTGAGCAAGCAAGGTGGGCAGGACACAGGAGAATGAACACTGTCTAAAAGAAAAACATAGTTTTCATTGAGACTCTTTGCCAAACCAGGATTTGTTTGACTATTGCTACAGGAAGTAGTTTACGAAAACAAAACCAGGATTTGTTTGACTATAAACCTGTTAATACACTGTATGAGGTTTCTAAGGGGTGTTTTAATGCAATTATGCATGTCCTTGACATGGCAATGGGTGAATCGTGGAATCCAGGATTTTTGCATAGCAAATCGTTTTTTAATATGAGCATAAATTGTAAGGAGGTCCTTGGGGAGGGTAAGGTATTTCCCCATCATCTTGGCATTAACCATTTACCCTGGGTATCTCGCAAAACAAATGCAAAACCCACCAAAATATTTAAGTCTGACTTACTTGCTTTTTAATTTAGCTCCTTGATTTCCAGAATCCACAATTATATATATATATACATACATATATATATATATATATATATATGTACACAACCTGCTTGCTAGTTCAAGAGTTTCCTAATGTCAGAGGTTTCCAGGGAAGGTCCAGGACTCCATAACTATGATGTTTGGTGGTTTCATGGTATGTTACATTTCTATTGATGTCATGTTGTGTACATATGTGTTCATATGTGTTTCATTTTTCATGTATTAGTGTGTGATGTCATGTGAGATGTATTACCTAGTTGCCACTGAAATGTGACATCATGTTTATGACTACATACATGTTTTATAATCACATACATTAATTACATGCATGTTTATAATACATCATGTCCACATCTCAACTGTCACTTCCTCATGAACAAACTGTCACTTCCAATGGCTGTGGATTCTTAGTCACCTTAGTCACCTTAGTATGGGATTATTCTGGGTAAATTATAATAATTCACTAATCTGAATAGTGCGGCCATAAAACGGGATGATTTCCCTATAAAAAAATATGACTATAGTGAGGTCGCAGTGAGGTCGTTATAATTTACCCAGAAAGGATATGTCACTAGCCATCCAGTTACCCTCTGGTAATTTAACATAGCTATGGAAAATCACCATTTTTAATGGGAAAACTCACTATAAATGGCCATTACCCAGATTATTCCCATCTATTGATCACCGTCATTCTCGCCTCCTCCGCCCCAGCGAAGCGCTCCAGCATCTTGCGCCGGAAGCGCCGCAGCGCGCTGGCGCCCTGAAAGTCGCCCAGGCAGCCCTGGAGACATGGCGCGCGTACCATACCATACCATACCATACATACATACATATGTATATATATATATAATTACATTTCATTATTTATATACATTACATTACATTACATTAACATTAACATTAACATTTACATTTACATTACAATACATTACATTATATATATATCATGGGATTATCCTTTACTATATGGCTTAAGTATTGAGTAAGTGGATTATACAAGCCATATTTCATCCCATATAATATATGTGATTAAGTGGGAATAAGTTTTTTTTTTAAAAAAAAAACATTAACCAAGTGGGATGCACCCCCAAGAAGGCAACATGGTGATTCAAACCAACCAAAATGGTGTTTTATTGATGTGTGTACTTAGAAAAATCACGTATAGAGATGATGATGTTACTAAGAACGGTGTTGTAAGATGTTGCTTTTAGAGATGATTCAACAAGCAACAATTGTGATTTATGCAAGTAGGTGTAGGAGCCACTGACGTGTTCCACAGGCGCCTCCGGTACCTCTGTGACTTCAGTTCCAGATGTCGCGACAGAGGGCTCTTGGTACAGCAAACGATCAGGTAAGCCACCTCACTGATGACAAAGTCACTCTGAATGTCAATGAATATGCATGAATCTTGGTGAAAGTCTACTAGCCTGCAAAAATGTATGAACATCCACTCTCACAGTCCGTGGTACCAAAAAAATCTTGTCTCACCGGGGGTCTTTTTCCCCGTCCAACAGCTTAAGTGAAACTCCGAGGTGCGAAAATGCACACCCCGATTCGCCACAATGCATTCCTTGGTCAACTGCAGAAGCTTCTGAAAGTCCTCGTGGATGACCATCCCAGTAAAGAACAAGCTGGGAAAATAATGTTATCATCAGCTTTAACGTAAACAACATAATCATGCAATACTGTAAAGAATTAATCCAAGTCAGCAATCAAAGACACCCACACGATATCGCCAAGTCACCATTGTTTTCTCCGCCTGCACTAAATGGTAGTTTCACCCCTCTTGCGAACTTATCATTGCACACAAAAATCTAGTCTAGTTCGTCTTTCCGATGCGTCGATGAAATAACGTCAAAAATCAAACATTCCATGAAATCTCACATAGATGGCACAACGTCAACATCAAACATTCCATGAAATCTCACATAGATGGCAAATTAATTAGGGTGATGGCACTAGCCGAGAGGGTTCGAGGTGTGGCACAAATTTCAACCATCTCTTCTTGTAGGTTCCCATTGTCGTCGAACAGAGATTATACTTTGCATCCATTTGTTGATCACTTTATCCCGCATACCCGTGCTTTTTGCTTTAAGAGTTCTCAACTCAAGCAGTCTGAGATCATGTCCGGAATGTCTGGAAATGTCTAATTTGGCATGTTTGGAAATGTTCGGAATATCAAACATGTTTCGAATATCACTCAAATAGCGAACAACATGTGGAATTCCATTGGAATTGCACCAAAAAAGCATGTATCACTTTTTAAAGGTAAAATAAACTTTTTAAAAAAATGTAATGTATCACTAAAATTCCTTAAACGCCATGTGAAATTAGGAAAAAACCGTCCATCATCATCCAAGATGAGCCAAACCTTGGAGCGCGGCCGGCCGCGGCCCAAGCTCTTGCAGGGTCGGCTGGCGGGCCATTGATGGGACGCCATTGACGCCACATCGGGAGGCTCCTGATGGCAATATGGATAAGTATAAATCAGTTTAAATAAAAATGTACAATGTAATCCCATTAAAATATGCAAATGTATGTGCAATATAGAAAGAGAGAGAAGAAAGAGCGAGAGAGAGAGAGAGAGAAACCACCTATGTGTAAATAGGTTTGTGAGGTAATTATGCCAGGATGATATGGTTACCTGATGTTATCTCAATCATCCCAAACTCAACCCAACTGTTTGAAGTTTAAATAAAACATGCAAAATCATATCGGTATAGCTCCCCACCAAACCCCCAAAAAAATACAAAAACGAGGTTTCAACCCAGAATTGGGATAGTATATAAGCAACATTAAGCAGCATAAATCTAGTCTCTTTAGACCTCTGCTGCGCTGGCAAGAACTGGCATAGCAACCAACACGAAACAGTGGATTTAGCTCAGGAATTTGGGCTCCATCAGTATCAGCGAAGCTGTAGGTTTAATAATGGAGTAGAAATGTGAAAATGACGAATCTCACGTCAACACACCCCTCCGGTAAACGAACATAGCTATGGCAGCTATGGAAAATGCTCGTTGATGGATGATTTTATTGATTTTACCTATATATTAACATCTGGATATGTTCATAGATTGTCCATATCCATAGCTATGCCGTACCGGGTACATCCTCACCACCGGACTCCAGTCCAAGCGCTCCCACGTCCTGGAGCTTAAAGCCGTGCATCTTTTTGCTCAAGTTCCTCTCAGCCTGGGTCCCAGCTTGCGGTGATTTATTTTGGCGATTCACAAAGGAAATTCCAGAGATCACATGTGAATGCGAGAGATCATGAAGATTACCCAGGTTAAGCTACAAGTAAATGTCGATCCTACCGTGTCTCTTCCGTGTTACCCGCTGATGAACATTTCATTAGACCCTGCCAAATAGGGGGCTGGAAGATTAGTTATAGTTTCCAAAGTGTTTTCACAAGCAAAAATGATTGTTTTCAGGGTCTATATGTTGAATAACATTGAATGACCGGCAAATGGTGCTAAGGATAAGCATCCGAGCCACCACTCGATCCAACGCGCTGGGGTTGGTGATTTTCTTCCGTTCATGGCGGTGATGTTGAACCGCTTGCCTGGGGCTCCCGGTGGATTCATCCCAGGTGAATTGGCGGAGCAACCAATTTTTTTTTGTCAATGCTATGAGGATCGAACATGGAATTTTCATTGTTAACAACTTAACAACTCCCATATTGATGGGGTTTGTATGGTTTTGTGCCCTACAATGGTGCCAGGGATTATAAGGACTTTTAAATTCTTGCCGCCCTCTTCGTCAGAGCATGCTTTCAGCCAAGTCGCGGAAATCCCCAAGCCTCTTCCTCTTGAGTCTTGCCTGGACAGGGAGGAATGGCCCACCTCTGCTGGATCCATTCCTGAAGTTTTGAGATCCATCCTCGTGGGGATCAGATTGAAAAGATGGATCAAGATGGATCAAGGTATCAGTTGTCATCCCTTACTCTCCTGTAAACAAAACAAGATTGCGGGCTGGGTATGTTCCAGACAGAGTTCAAGGCAATCTGCTATGTGATAGATTTCATGCGATGTTCACTTTGTCACCACATCTACCAAATGATACCAAATAGTGCATATCGCCTGGGAGCCTTATATGTCAGCTGGGAACATCTTTCTGATACCAACAGCACCACCACGCACATGCATTGATACGTTTGGACAGAACAAATATGTGCTCCCTGCTAACCTAACTTGCCAATAGAAAATCCCTAACTCTCACGAGGACACTCAGAAAAATAAATTCGGAGGCGGGATTTTACAGTATGCCAGGTTGTAAGACTTTATCGGATGTACATGGATGTACCATATCCCATGTTGGAGCATGCTTGGAATCGCTGTGATTCCGGCATACTTTTTTTCAACCCCTCCAGTAAAGCAACACTGCATAACATAGCTATGGAAATCCATGGGTTTTCTGCGAAATTATCTGCACATGGTGAATTTTCCATATGCTGGTGCGCAACTCCCAAATGGATCCAAAATCGGTTCGTTACTTTGGGGGTGCAGTTGGGGTTATGTACATAACCTTCGTGAACTAAACCCCCATAAGTACAAGGTCCAAGGGTGCCCATTTAGGTTCCAAGTTGGGGTCCAGGTTGGTTTGTTTCGGGGGGGCTCGGCCTAAATGCAACTAAATGTTATACAAAAGAAACCTACAATGTTATTATGTTTGAAAAATCAAGTAAATGCACATATACAAAAGAAAAAAATACAGACGATAAAAATCTCATCGTCTGTATCGTTTATTTTTTGATGTTTCTCAAGGTTTACCATTTCTCATTTCACAACGGTGGGAGGACCTCCGGGCGCCAAAGCCACGGGGACACACAACGGGTTCCGAGTTGGGTTCCAGGATGGCACAACGGGAAACACAACGGTATAACACAGTGGGAGGGAAACAACGGGAAAATGAAAAAGTCACGTTTATGGTGGGTAAATGGGGAAAAGCTACTTGTGTAACATTTTACAAACTAAAAAAATAATATTATATGAGCTCTTTACTTTTTGATATGTGTATTTTAAAACTTGAATATGTGCTTCAATGTGATTTTAACTTGAATATGTGCTTCAATGTAATTTTAAATTTGAATATGTGCTTCAATGTGATTTTAACTTAACATATGTGCTTCAATGTATTTATGCATATTTTTATGTTACGGAAGATGTCAACTAGAATGTCAGAATATTTCTCAGAGAAAATGTCAGATAAAATGCCAGAATATTATTGTTTTTTATATATATATAAAGTTGTTGTTTTTTTTTAAGTCTGGGGATATGGCTAACATGGAACAAATATCTTACATGTGTATGCTAACATGGAACTGTTGGTTGAGCACTAAATGGCAGCTTGTGGGGCTCTATGTTAATATTAATATGACCAGTAGCCAAAAAGTGCCCGGTATCAAAATCCACCAGCACATACCAACACCAACATGGCACCTACGTGGCACTTATCCCGCTCATGAATTTTAACATGGGTGCGCTAACATGGACCCCTTTTTTTGTATAACGTTAGTTTTCGGGAGAGTAATCCAAGGTAGATATGATTCATGATAAACCATCAAACCACCCAGCCTCGGTAGAACTGCTTCTGTAAATTCCTCAAAGCCGCTCGGTAGGACACGTCTTCGATCCTAGGACGATCCCCGGAGACCACGCGAACGCGCCTGGTAAGGTGAGATATGTGAGATGGGAAATTGGGCAAGGCCATGGTTACCACATTAATTTCCCATGGCCTTGCCATTCATTGGGGGCAATTCATGGCAAATTGGGCAACATGTTTGATAATTGCCATTAATTGCCCCAATTTGTCGTGCAGTGCTATTCTCCTGTAGGTTCAAAACTCGACATCGACTGCAGCCAACAAACTGGAGGACAGCAAAAATAGTTGTTGAACACAGCAATGGCATGGCTACTATCTTGGATGTGCAGCAAACAAAATGATAACTATACAAGTACAAAAACCATTATAAACCCAAAAATATGGAATGGTGTTTGCCAATGTTCACATTCTCCAGTAAATGAACATAGCTATGAAGAGATGAACTCATCTAAAAATGATCATGTTGATCTTTTTATAGTGATAGGACACGCATATAGATAATCATGTTCCATAAAATCATAGAATTGGATGATGGGAAAATTGAAACCGGAAACCCCTATATTTGATGGTAAACACCATGGTTTCCTGTAGATTTTCACTATGTTAGCCCCCTGGGCCACGGATGCTGACCTCCCCAGACGCAGCCTGGGCGACCCATACCGGACCCATCCCAACATCCCAGCGCCAAGTTGCCAATCCACAGACTCCAACCACGGCTGCACAGTCCTGACGCCCAGGTGTCAAATGGCTATATATATATACATATATGTACATGATTCAAACAATGTGTATATATATATATACACAGTATCTATCTATCAATCAATCTAATCTATATAATCTAATCTAATCAAATCTAATCTGATCTAATCTAATCTAATCGACCTATCTATTTCATAATATGTTTCTCATAATATGTTTATTACGTATACTTATATAATTACAAATGTGTGTACCGAAAAAAAACGTATGTAGATAATTGTATATATATATATATATGTATGTGTGTGTGTGCTTATGTATATGTATGAATATGTATATATATATATAATGTGGTATGACAATGTCATGAAATGGGGTCTTATGAGATATCATGGATACTTACAATGGGATATGGATGTATATGGTGTTTCAGTGGTTGTTTGGGATGGAGGTCTATTTGAAGCTGCAATGAAACCGCCCCGAGATGACTCCCATTCCCTAACCCCATCAATTTCCGTAATGGAATCTCATTCATCACCAACGCAGTCACACGTATATATATATATATAAAAACATATATATGTAAATATATTAAATAAAAAAAATAACCTTTAACCAAAAAAACATAAATAAATACACACATATTATATATATATATATGTAGATGATTCCTTTGGGTTGTATACACCAAACTCTTGGGCACCAAGAAAAGGTAGGTTGAAACCATTGGCAATGTTTGGCTGTGAGGTGTTTGGATCCATGGTTTTTGTACTTTCAACTTTTACCCCTTGTTGTTGTTTATTTTGCTATGTCCCATGTGTCTTCTAATTTGTCCCTGTAATGCTCTTCAGTAAACAAACGTCCCACTTTTTCTTACTCTCTCTCTCTCTCTCCATTTTCTTAGCTAAGCATATGCTAAATGACGTTGATTTTATCTGGGGATGGGTCAAACCCTAGTCTTACCATGGGGGAATAAATATCCATTAGCCAACTATCCAGTTGGGGTACCAGCTGGGCACCAACGTCAACTGACAGTCCCAGGTTTGCGCGGCGTCCTACGTCGCTTGAGGTTGACATGGTTCTTCTCCAACTCCGAGATTTCGTCCGAGTCCAGCTGGCGGCGACGAATTGTCCGAAACGACACCTGAAAAATAATACGGTATAGAATATGCTAAGGACATATCATGATATATCATGGTGAATACCTGGAAATAATTACGATCAATGTGGCAAAAGCCAATTATAGAGGTTTACTGAAGTTAACTACTCAGGATGCCCCCATTTGGGATGATTAAAATAAATACCTAGAGATAATACGAGATAATACAAATGGTAACACATTCAAAGGTAAATCTATATGGTATAATATAATAATGTATAGTTTAATATGAATAAGTTGGCTCTGTAGTTTTCCAAGTCGGTTTACAACTGCTTAGCTATGGTTTATGAAAACAACTTACAATTTGGCTAAGTATTGGCCTATAAAGTTATAAACCATGGTGAACCGATGTATATTCCATAGTTGACTCACCAAGATATCTCTATCGTTAGACAGATTTACACTGTACAAACCAACTGGGGGCACCCCCTTGTGAGATGTAGCAAACCTAGATCTCATAAACCCGCGAATCGGTGATGGGCTTCTATCACCCATTTGTGATAAGTCATTGGAATCGGTTTTAGGGTGTTGAGCTTGCCACAGTACCCATATCTGGTAATCTCTGGTATAACACTTCAATCAAAACTGTACATATTGAAGACTTCGCACAATTTACCACTTGTACTACCTATCCAGTATCTACAGTCTATACAGTCTATCACACTTCAAACTTAGAAACGCAACAGAATCCGAACCATTTTTCTGACCCAACCCGCATCTCTTCAGTTCCAAGTCCGACTTAGCTCTCCATTCTCGAGGGGAACATTCCCTACCCTCCTGGTAATTTGCTACAATTTGCTAGTGAAAATGACCCATAAAAATAGTTGATTTACCCGTTAAAAATTGTCATTTACCCTTTAAAAATAGTTGATTTTCCACCGTTTCTTGGACAGTTTACCCAAGGCTAAGCGGCTAAGCCAGCCGCTCAGCGCACCTCAAGGTCCAAGTCAAGTTTCGATTGAGCTCCGCGTCCCTTGGACGTCCTAATTGCGACACCGGTGGGCACCGGCGCAGCTATAAAAAATCTCCCACACATACACAAGATGATGTCACAATAATATATGTTTTTAATTACACTTATGTAAGGACACTTATGTTTATATTCAGTTATTACATTTAATCCATGCATAGTCCATAAGTCTAGGACACTTATGTTCAAACAAAAAAAACAAACCACTCTTTCCGGAATTAGGTTCTTTGCTTTCCATTTGAAGTACTGAGACCACAAAATGCAAATATTTGCACTTTAGGCACTTAATGAATTTATAAGTATACTATAAGTTACTATTATCCTTCTAATATCTTGTTCAAATTGTTTTTCAAAAATATTTTGTTATAAGTTCCACTAAATTTTTAGGTGAACTTATAACATAATAAGGAAAATATAAGCAAATATAGTAGAATATTAGTCAAAAATAAGCCAAAATAAGCGAAAAGAAGTGATAAGAAGTGAAATTTGATTTTTATGTGTGTTTGATAGATTCGCAGGAATGTTGATTTTCGACGAAACAATATTGTCTCAGAGCACTACTTTTCTGACGAAACCTTCCTGAACAGGAATATGCTGCTAAAGAACAATTCTCTGAAGGCGCCTATTTGGAAAAAAAAATGGTAGGAAAAAAAATGTAGGGACAATTTCTCTGCAGGATACTTCCTGAAAAGGAAAAATTGTGTGGGGAATAGTTCTCTGCAGGATACTTCCTGGAAAGGAAAAAAATTGTAGGGAACAGTTCTCTGCAGGATACTTCCTGGAAAGGAAAAAAAATGTAGGGAATAGTTCTCTGCAGGATACTTCCTGGAAAGGAAAAAAATTGTAGGGAATAGTTCTCTGCAGGATACTTCCTGGAAAGGAAAAAAATTGTAGGGAATAGTTCTCTGCAGGATACTTCCTGGAAAGGAAAAATTGTGTAGGGACAATTTCTCTGCAGGATACTTCCTGAAAAGGAAAAATTGTGTGGGGAATAGTTCTCTGCAGGATACTTCCTGGAAAGGCAAACATTTGTAGGGAATAGTTCTCTGCAGGATACTTCCTGGAAAGGAAAAAAATTGTAGGGAATAGTTCTCTGCAGGATACTTCCTGGAAAGGAAAACTTTTGTAGGGAATAGTTCTCTGCAGGATACTTCCTGGAAAGGAAAAAAATTGTAGGGAATAGTTCTCTGCAGGATACTTCCTGGAAAGGAAAACAATTGTAGGGAATAGTTCTCTGCAGGATACTTCCTGGAAAGGAAAAATTGTGTAGGGACAATTTCTCTGCAGGATACTTCCTGAAAAGGAAAAATTGTGTGGGGAATAGTTCTCTGCAGGATACTTCCTGGAAAGGAAAAAAATTGTAGGGAACAGTTCTCTGCAGGATACTTCCTGGAAAGGAAAAAAAATGTAGGGAATAGTTCTCTGCAGGATACTTCCTGGAAAGGAAAAAAATTGTAGGGAATAGTTCTCTGCAGGATACTTCCTGGAAAGGAAAACATTTGTAGGGAATAGTTCTCTGCAGGAGACTTCCTGGAAAGGAAAAAAATTGTAGGGAATAGTTCTCTGCAGGATACTTCCTGGAAAGGAAAACTTTTGTAGGGAATAGTTCTCTGCAGGATGCTTCCTGGAAAGGAAAATTTTTGTAGGGAATAGTTCTCTGCAGGATACTTCCTGGAAAGGAAAAAAAATGTAGGGAATAGTTCTCTGCAGGATACTTCCTGGAAAGGAAAATTCAGAAAATTCAGAAAATTCAGAAAATTCAGAAAAAATCAGAAAATTCAGAAAACTCAGAAATTTCAGACATTTCCGAAAATTCAGAAAATTCAGAAAATTCAGAAAATTCAGAAATTTCAGAAAATTCAGAAAAGTCAGAAAATTCAAAAATTTCAGAAAATTCAGAAAACTCAGAAAATTCACAAAATTCAGAAACCCAGAAAATTCAGAAAAGTCAGGAAATTCAGAAAATTCAGAAACCCAGAAAATTCAGAAAATTCAGAAAATTCAGAATTTACAATTTAAATTAAAAGGAAAACAATTCAGAAAATTCAGAAAATTCAGAAACCCAGAAAATTCAGAAAATTCAGAAAATTCAGAAAATTCAGAAAATTCAGGAAATTCAGAAAATTCAGAAAATTCAGAAAATTCAGAAATTTCAGAAATTTCAGAAATTTCAGAAAATTCAGAAAATTCAGAAAATTCAGAAAATTCAGAAAATTCAGAAATTTCAGAAAATTCAGAAAATTCAGAAAACTCAGAAAATTCAGAAAATTCAGAAACCCAGAAAATTCAGAAAATTCAGAAAAGTCAGAAAATTCAGGAAATATTTATAGAGGAAAAAAAGGATAAGTAAGTATTTATAATAATGTCAAGTTAGGATTAATAATTGCCTGCGATTAATCAACCACCAAAATCTCAGCAAAAAAACCGTATGAACAAAGTATGCGAAATCAAAAGAAAGTAAATTGTAGAACAATATGAACAATAAAACATAAATAGCAATTATAGAAAATACATTTTCAAAACAAAAAGCAAGCCAGCTAGCTTTAAATCTTTTACCAACAAAAAAATATAATAGAATATTTTCCAAATTAGGTATCCATCTTCATCCCTGAATTATGTAGTTTGGAAGTAGTAACCGAAGCCTCATCTGGGCAGTCGTATACAATTGAAGAAGACACATCAAAAGAGCAATTGTTCTTTCCAAGAAGCATCCTTTATATGTTTTTTTCCTTTTGCCTCTGAATGATTTCTCCACAGATGTACTTCAAGATTCTTTGTGTCACTCGCAGCCGCGCATATTCCTGTAGAAGAACCATTTCCTGTAGAAGATAACTCCTGAAAAGCATTGTTCCTGAAAATGAAATCAATCTGAATAGAAAGATTCCTGTTAAGGATAGTTCCTGAAAAGGATTCATTCTGAATAAAAAAATCCTGAAAGGATAAGTCCTGAAAAGGATAATTCCTGAAAAGGATAAATCCTGAAAAGGGTGATTTCTAAAAGGATGATGCCTGAAAAGAATGAAAAAAAACAATGAAAAAAGGCAAGAAAAAAATATTCCAAAGGAAACAAAAAGGTCGACAACTATTTTCAAAAAATATATAACAGAAAAATGCATCGTCTACAATTCTGATCATCAAAAAAACATTGAAAAATAAGTGAAAATAAGTAAAAATAAAGAAAAAACACTTCTATGATAAGTTCATATAACTACTAATATCTTCATTAAGTGCCTAAAGTGAAAATATCTTCATTTTGTGGTCTCAGTAGGATGCACACGCACCGAAGCGGACTCATGTTTCATGTTTTTTTTGTGAAAATGGCAGGTGCGCAGTTCCATAGTTGTTTCAGCTAAGGTAGATTTCAATCGATTTGAATGATTGAAGTGATAAATTCATAAGAAAACACATTGATTGCATTGAAACATATTAAAGTACTTTCAGTCATCCTACATACATCAGATTTTGCCTTCTCACCCAAGGCTCTACTCCCTTTTCCACCAAGGGGCAACCAGGATGGGAGTTGCCGCGACGTGAAGACGCTGATGGCACTGCTCTTGCTGTGAGTTTCAGGCAAGTCAACTTCATCTTCAGGCTGCAGGATGATGGGCATTTTCTGGGCACAAATGAAGCACTCAGGATCATCCCGGAGCCCAGGCAGCTTTTTTTGTGGCAAATTCGGTAAGCCACGTGGGGGTTGTATCACAAAATAAAGCAAAGAATGCCCCAATGTGGCTTTACCATTGTAATACAAATCTATATCAGTTATGTAGTGCTCACTTGATCTTGTAATTACTTACTTGATATGTAATTACCACGTGTATAACGCAAAGTAGATCAACAAAACCAACAACATGTGTTGGTAACCAACCAATTTTGGGGGTTTCGGCTAAGGAGTTGACCCATGCCCAACTTGCCAAGCATCCGGCAAACGCAAGGCAGCACTGGAGACACCTTCGGAACTTCACTTTGGAAAGTCAGGTGATTCAGGTTTTCCAACATCCATGGGATGCAGGTTATCCATAAATCTTTTGTTCAATGGCCATTTCAGAAACCTAAATTGGAGGATCCTGAAATTACCATTGATTTGTTAATTGTTACATAAATTACCCTCTGGTAAATTAACATAGACCCTGGCAGATAGGGGTTGGAAGACTAGTTTCCATTAAAAATTGGTGATTTTCAGGGTTTATGTTTATTTACCAGAGGGTAACCTATAAGACCACCAAAAACCCATGGTTGATGGCGAAAGACCGGACGGTCACCGCCTGGCTGCCGCATGGGTCGCGGCGGAATGGGCGGCGGCCGCACCAGCTCTGCTTCGGGCGCTGGCAGGTTGTGCTGCAGCACGGAAGCCCTGCCCTGGCCAGGGATTGTTGCGGATGTTGTACCCTCTGGTAAACTAACATAACTATGGAAAATCACCATTTTTAATGGGTAAATCCATTATAAATGGCCATTTTCAATAGCTATGTTAAATTACCAGAGGGTATCGGGATTCATGGATGCTTGATGGGGTGGCCATATTCTCTCGGCATCTTTCGGCTATATCGTCTTAGGTACCCTGGTACCCTGCACTCTTTGAACGCATGAATTCTTTAGCTGATCAGATTTTTTCATGATATTCTATAGGGATGTTCTACGGGAGACGCTTTATACGATTCACTTATTACCCATCCAAGGATTTGACAGAATATGAAGTACGACCCCCAAGCGCTGGTTTAGTGATGGAGACATGTTTGGGCCCATCTGAGGGAACTCTATATATATTATATTATTTAATATCTATTTAATTATTATCTATTGATATCTATTCCGATATAATTTATTATATATTTATCTTTATATATAATTAACATAGACCCGGGCAAGCCGGCGGCGGAAGTTTCCCAAACATAAATGACCTATAGTTCAAAGACACCCTGTCCCGACCGTGTCCTTCCCTCGACAACCGTTTGATTTTTTCAGCGAGAGACGAAGCAAAGTCTTCACACTCCACACTTCACACTGCACTCTTCGCACTCCGAACTTGAAACTTCACACTCCAAACTTCACACTTCACACTTCGCACTTCACACTTCTCACTTCCCACTGCTTCCTTCACACTCCAAACCTCACACTTCTAAATGATGATATAAAATCGTAACAAAATCTAACCTCAGAATCAGATTTCTTCGCGTGCCCGGTAAACAGACCATAAACACTTGCAGCCCCAAAGCCGCGAAAATCTGCGCCTCTGCGTGCAAGTATGTTTTCAAATTTGTCCAACATCCTCACAACCGCGGGCCGCAACGCCGCACGATCGTCTTGCGCATGAGGCCAAAGAATTCCTGCTTTCAAATCCTCCACTTGTTCCTTTTGCTCGGCACTCAATTTTTCTGCACTGCGCCGCCAAAAGTTTTGACAAAATTTCAACTCCGAATCTTTTTTGCAAATATGGGACGAAAAGATGCCTTTCAGGTCACATTTGCGCAAGGCAAACAGCTCCTGTGCTCGAGCATGCAAAGTTGCAAGGAAGCGCCGAAAACCGTCATCAACATGCTCATGGGAACAAATCTTGGAAGACCAGTCCTCAAGAACCTTGCGCTGCTCATCCGTCAACATATCTTTCTGCCGACGGAAAAAGTTCCGTCCAAAACCAAGATCACTGTCTGCATTGCTGACACGTGTCCCGAAACATGCTTCGAGACTTGTTTTTCGCATTTGTCGCAAGTCATCTTCACGAGTTTCCAGTATGGTAAGCAAACGTGCGAAATCTGCATCGATGGCAGGACATAACCCCGCACCATCGGCACAAATGATCTCCTCCCATTCATCCACAACCTTTTGCTGTTCATCTGTCATACTTGCTTTTTTGCGCTTGAAGAAATTTTGGCAAAACTTTAAGTCCTTGTCTCTATTGCTCAGGCTAATGTTGAAACATGCTTCGAGACTTGCTTTTCGGATTTTTCGCAAGTACTCTTGACGGTTTTCAAGTATAGTAAGCAAGAGTGCGAAATCTGCAAACCCATCGGCACAAATGATCTCCTCCCATTCATCCACAACCTTTTGCTGTTCATCTGTCATACTTGCTTTTTTGCGCTTGAAGAAATTTTGGCAAAACTTTAAGTCCTTGTCTGTATTGCTCAGGCTGCTGTTGAAACATGCTTCGAGACTTGTTTTTTGCATTTGTCGCAAGTCATCTTGACGGTTTTCAAGTATAGTAAGCAAACGTGCGAAATCTGCCTCGATGGTAGGACATAACCCCGCACCATCGGCACAAATGATCTCCTCCCATTCATCCACAACCTTTTGCTGTTCATCTGTCATACTTGTCTTTTTGCGCTTGAAGAAATTTCGGCAAAACTTTAAGTCCTTGTCTGTATTGCTCAGGCTGCTGTTGAAACATGCTTCGAGACTTGTTTTTTGCATTTGTCGCAAGTCATCTTCACGGTTTTCAAGTACAGTTAGAAAACGTGCAAAATCTGCCTCGATGGCAGGACATAACCCCGCACCATCGCCACAAATCTTCTCCTCCCATTCATCCACAACCTTTTGCTGTTCATCTGTCATACTTGTTTTTTTGCGTTTGAAGAAATTTCGGCAAAACTTTAAGTCCTTGTCTGTATTGCTCAGGTTGCTGTTGAAGCATGCTTCGGGGCTCGGTTTTCTCATTTGCTTCTCACGGCTTGCAAATATGGCAAGCAACCGCGCAAAATCAATGTCCTCCGCCTCACTGCAAAGCCTTCGTTCCCAATCCATTAGAGTAGCTTTTTGGTCAGCCGTTACTGACTTCTCAATCTTATTGTAAATTCTATAATGCTTGGCTCGCTCTGCATTTGCTTCGTATCCTTTGGTGCCTGTCCCTGTCCGCAAGCATGCTTTCAAATTCGTGGCACGCAAAGCCTTCAACACAAGCTCTTCTTTCTGCAAGAAACAAAGAAGGTCTTCGAACAGCGACCATTCCATGGCGCTAGCCTACGCGGACCACAGCGTCGCGCGTAAGCACCTTTGCGCGGACCAGAACGTCGCACGTACGCGTTGCGAGTATACGCAGTTGCAAGGTTGTATCGTGTCCATGCGTGCTGTTTGTTGACATCGTGTATCTGCTATATATGATAGCTACGTTGCATGCTTGCTATATATGATCGTTTTCTCACCGAATCGATGTAATCACTCAACAATACTTATGAAAATTATTTTTCCACCTATATCCAACATGCTGCTACACATATGTTAGCCAACGCGGACCATAACGTCGCACGTCGGGTGTCCCTTGCAAACTCCATGATGCATGCGTTTAAAAAAAAACATGTGATGATTCAAAACATGACATAATATGATTTAGGTCTTGCTGATAGATTTGATCACATATGCATGACCGACACAAACGGCAGCGGCAACGTTGCAGAGCTGAAACTACACAACCGCTACCAGACAACATCATAGGGTGAATATAACAGATCGAAATTCCCCATAGTCGAAGTAAAGAAACAATTACACGTACCAACTAAGATCCAAGAAATACGAAACGCACTTCCTCATCCAAATTGTGTAGATCCCCAACCAACCATCTCATTCAACAGAGGTCAAATAAACACGAAACATACCATCTCACCCAGCTTGAGGTCTGATGTCTGAAAAAGGAAATGGTCCAGAAAATCATACTTTCAACAAACTACAAAAATCCAACCCATGCTGCATAAAGCATTGAGCGGATCTTAGTGAGACCTTGCATTTACCCGCTCCCACGACAGCATGTTTTTTTCACATGTATGCAATACGATCATGGTTTTTTGTGCGGTTCGTAACAACGCACACAGAAACCAAAACCAAGTGACAGAGGCATTCTGCGGTTCGCAAGGTCAAATGAAAGGCGAAGCTACTGAAGCACAGCAATTCACACCCGGATGCGGTTCATAACAACGCACACCCAGCCCTCGGCAGTCAAACGAGAGTTGAAACCTCTGCGGCAAGACCTTGTCTGCGCTTCATCTCAGCATCAACAAACTCTGGTTGAAAGGACCGCACAGCTTCCCAGAGATGACGGTATTGTCTGCGGAGAACTTCGTCGTCCGACTCTTTGTCGTCCAACCACGTACTGTTGTTGTGCAAGACGATTTTGAAGCACTTTTTAAAAATATTTTTAGAAGGAAAATCACTGACGCCAAAATAGAGAAAATCTGCTGACAAATCACTGTGGCAGCCCTCATGCAGCCACTCCAATACGATTTACGAAGTCCAGCTGCAAAAGACAATAGTATTACGAATGCAGCCACAGCAGGAAGCAACCTTGACGCAGCCATTACAATGCGATCTGCAGAGACTGAGTTGCAAAACACAATAGAACTACGCGCAACGGCGTCGGAAATTGTAGCTCCAAAACCGGATCTCGACGCCAGAGCAGAAAAAGTTGATTTTTGAAGCGTTTTTTATAAAGAATTGAAATAGAAAATGAAAGCAGGCAAAATCTGAAAGAATCCAGCTGCAGCAAGTTCACGCAGCCATTACAATGGCATTACGTCCTCAGCTCGTCCACCGAAGCATGTGAAACCTTCTAGACATTGCGGGAACGATCCTACAGTTGCAAAGCACAATGGAATTCCATCGGCAACTCCTCCACCAGCACCACTTGCAATGCCATTTGCATTGCGGGAACGATCCTACAGTTGCAAATCACAATGGAATTCCATCTGCAACTCATCCACCAGCACCACTTGCAATTCCATCTACATTGCGGGAACGATCCTACAGTTGCAAATCAAAATGGAATTCTGTCGACCGCACATGCACGAAAAACAGTTGAAACCCCATTTACAATGCGGAACCGATCCGAGCATGATCCGACCATGATCCGAGACCGATCCGACCATGATCCGACCACACACGAGACCGTCTCGCAACCGTCGCACCGCAGAGGTAGATCATCGACGTTCGGGGACGGACTTTGTATGGAAAAACATAGGCTTTCGTGCATCTGCTATCTCTCAAAAACGCATTTCGTGCGAGATTTCCTCCAAAACTCCATCGGCAACTCCTCCACCAGCACCACTTGCAATCCCATTTACAGTGAGGGAACAATTTCTTTGCTAACTCTTTCTGTGACTAACTCTTTTCCTCACTAACTCTTTCTTTGACTAACTTGTTTCTTTGCAAACTCTTTCTCTGACTACCTCATATATCCTGACTAACTCTTTCTTTGACTAACTCTTTCCCTGACGAACTCTTTCTTTGACTAACTGTTTCTTTGCTAACTCTTTCCCTCACTAACTCTTTCCCTCACTAACTCTTTCTTTGACTAACTCTTTCCCTCACTAACTCTTTCTTTGACTAACTCTTTCCCTGACTAACTGTTTCTTTGACTAACTCTTTGTTTGACTAACTCTTTCTTTGACTAACTCTTCCCCTGACTAACTCTTTCTTTGACTAACTCTTTCTTTGACTAACTCTTTCCCTGACTAACTGTTTCTTTGCTAACTCTTTCTAAAGTTGATTTTTGAAGCGTTTTTTATAAAGAATTGAAATAGAAAATGAAAGCAGGCAAAATCTGAAAGAATCCAGCTGCAGCAAGTTCACGCAGCCATTACAATGGTATTACGTCCTCAGCTCGTCCACCGAAGCATGTGAAACCTTCTAGACATTGCGGGAACGATCCTACAGTTGCAAAGCACAATGGAATTCCATCGGCAACTCCTCCACCAGCACCACTTGCAATGCCATTTGCATTGCGGGAACGATCCTACAGTTGCAAATCACAATGGAATTCCATCTGCAACTCATCCCCCAGCACCACTTGCAATTCCATCTACATTGCGGGAACGATCCTACAGTTGCAAATCACAATGGAATTCTGTCGACCGCACATGCACGAAACACAGGTGACACCCCATTTACAATGCGGAACCGATCCGACCATGGTCCGAGACCGATCCGACCATGATCCGACCACACACGAGACCGTCTCGCACCCGTCGCACCGCAGAGGTAGATCATCGACGTTCGGGGACGCACTTTGTCTGGAAAAACACAGGGTTTCGTGCATCTGCTATCTCTCAAAAACGCATTCGTGCGAGACTTCCGTCAAAACTCCATCGGCAACTCCTCCACCAGCACCACTTGCAATCCCATTTACAGTGAGGGAACAATTTCTTTGCTAACTCTTTCTGTGACTAACTCTTTCTTGACTATCTCTTTTCCCTGACTAACTGTTTCTTTTGCTAACCAACTCTTTCTTTGTACTAATCTCTTTCCCTCACTAACTCTTTCTTTGACTAACTCTTCCCTCACTACCTCTTTCTTTGACTACCTCTTTCCCTGACTAACTTGTTTCTTTGCTAACTCTTTCTGTGACTAACTCTTTCCCTCACTAACTCTTTCTTTGACTAACTCTTTCCCTGACTAACTGTTTCTTTGACGAACTCTTTCTTTGACTAACTCTTTCTGTGACTAACTGTTTCTTTGCTAACTCTTTCTTTGAATAACTCTTTCCCTCACTAACTCTTTCTTTGACTAACTCTTTCTTTGACTAACTCTTTCCCTCACTAACTCTTTCTTTGACTAACTCTTTCCCTCACTAACTATTTCTTTGACTAACTCTTTCCCTCACTAACTCTTTCTTTGACTAACTCTTTCCCTGACTAACTGTTTCTTTGCTAACTCTTTCTTTGACTAACTCTTTCCCTCACTAACTCTTTCTTTGACTAACTCTTTCCCTGACTAACTGTTTCTTTGCTAACTCTTTCTTTGACTAACTCTTTCCCTGACATTTTCCCTGACTAACTCTTTCTTTGACTACCTAACTCTTTCCCTGACTAACTGTTTCTTTGACTAACTCTTTCTTTGACTAACTCTTTCCCTGACATTCTAAAAGTCCGTAACACGGAAGTTTCTCCCCCTAAACTTCCTTTGATAAATCCAAATCATTGAGTAGGTGATATGTTTATAACATTTTATAACCCCAATCAGGTCAGTTCTTGAAATATGTTAGGGACTGTTTTTTGGCTGGGGCTTCTCAAAGGGTTTGCCCCAACAGCCCGCCCAGCACATTCGCATCGGAGACTACGGTGTTGGCACTCACTTGCTGTCAGCGGAAACAAATGGTACCATGATTCATGCATTGCAAGTATTTGCAAGTGTCAACCTTTATCAAAGGTTCATATTGCTGTAGGGTTCTTATGCATACATGCTATCACTAGGAGCTTACAAACCACTTATTAAAACATGTTGAAACAGTTTAAGACATCTTAAGGCATGTATGAAAGCCACCAGCCAAACAAAAAAAGGGGGCATGCCAAATTGACCACACAGCCACTTCCGCGGCACCATTAAGGCATCCCTACCACATCCACCAAGATTCACCAAGGCAAGATGGATCATTGTGGATGTTCCATGTTGCTACGAAGGGAAAGAACATCTTCAACTTGTGGAGCTCAAACATCATTAACAAAAAAGAACTTTAATCATTCCAACTGTCTTAATGATCATTACAAACATTGAAAACATGAATTTGTGTCAGGTTTTGCCGTTCACATCCTCCGATCACCAGCTCCATGGCTGGACAATCCCAGCTGAAAAAAAACCGTCTGTTTGGGGATGCCCCAGCCATGGAGCTGGTTAGCGGAAGGCAAAGATTCCCATAATTCCCCATTAGATTCCATTATTCAATGGATTGGTTTAAGGGAAAATGTGCAGGAGACCATTGTTTTTTTACCATTAAATAGTGGGTTTTCCTGTAAATTTTCCCCTAAACCAATCCATTGAATTATGTCCCTCTAGATGACCATAATGCCATTGTCTTCCCATACGATTGTTGTTTATTTAGATGAATTATAGATCCCATTTATACTGGTTGGTGGTATACATACCCCTCTGAAAAATATGAAAGTCAGTGGGAAGGATTATCCCATATGTTATGAAAAAATAATTACTTTACTTCGAGTTGTCCCCACCATGACATTTATACGTTTTGCTACTGGCAAATATTCTGGCATTCTATCTGACATATCTTCTGGCATTTTATCTAGCATATCTTCTGGCATTGTATCTGGCATATCTTCTGGCATACCTTCTGGCATTCTACCTGGCATATTTTCTGCAATATGTTCTGGCATATCTTCTGGCACTCTA